TCTCCTACTGTTACAGCTTCTCTTCATTACAGGATGGTATTTCATGGAAGGGCAGTAAGAACATACATTACTGTGGAACCTGAGAGAGCATGCCACATCTTTGATATAAACAAAGGAGAGAATTTCATAAATGTTTCCCATTGATGTTGGGTAGCAAAGAATAGGGTTTAACTTGACCTTCAGTGCCACTTCAGAAGCTCTAAAGTGGTATGGTGTGAATGACCTAAATAACAGCCATGCAAGGTAAAACTGATTCTTTTTCTTACTAAGCTTTGATCATTAACATGGGAAAAACACTCATTTGCATCACAGTCATGGTGGATGAATGCATTACTAATTTTGTCTTATACAGACACTGTAGATTTTAGAAACACTCAGCGTGCTCTAGATCTTTCACAAAAGCATTTCACTTCTGTGGATATTAAAATAACTTGTGACCACAACATAATAGAACATTAACAAAAAGGAATTCCCAAAGAGTCAAAATTAGAAAATCAGTGCACCTTTGTTTCAGTTCCAGAACATTCTTCATTACGGTGCCATTTTCAGAAAGCCAAATCTTTGAGAAAAGTGGGCAGATGGGAAAAATAAAATTGCAATTTTTATTTTTATTTATTTATTTATTTTTGTGAAATGTAACCTATGTCCTGAAGAAATAAAAGGAAAGCAGAAAAAATCCTACGTATTCTGAGTTGCTCTTCCTTGAAAGTAAGATAAACTTTGTCTAGCTTCAAAAGATTGCAGTCAAAACTTCCAAAGGCAAGATAATGTACAAATCTTTTTGGCAGTGTTGGGTGAATTTGTACAGTCTGCTCAAACCCTTACTTTCCCTTACCAGGAAATTTACAGGACTCATTGAAGCATCCATTATGGACTGCATATCTTGTGAAAAAAAAAAAATACCACCAGCAAAACATTGCTTTACAGTGCGTAAAATTCATAAATGCTCTCTCGCACCAAAGTGACCTGTCCTCTGGGGATTCAACCTTTTGCTAAGTCTCTTAAAAGTGTGGCATAACTTCTGCTAGAGGTCTCTAGTGGGTAACAAAATTGGCAAGGAGAAAGAATATATATACATATTTTAAATTCAGGCAGTGAGAGAGACTGTGCATCCATGTATTAATGGATAGGGGTATCATAACAGTGAAATATTCCTACATGATTTTCCATCAAACTAATGAATTCTGACAAATATATCAACCATACTTGGACGATCTGGAAAAATACTATGATTCTTTCAGGATTAAAAAATAAAAAGAAGAAAAAAAGTGTAATTATTAAATTCAATGGGTTGAAAGGATGCCATCTAGAGGGACTTCGGCAAACTTGAGACGTAGATCCTTGTGAATCTCATGAAGTTAGACAAGGCCAAGTGCAATGCCCTGCACCTGATTTGAGATGGTCCCAAGCAGAAGAACAAACTGGGCAGAGAATGGATTGAGAGCATCCTGAGGAGAAGGATTTGGAGGTGTTCACTAATGAAAAACCCATATGAGCCAACAGTGTGTGTCTGTAGCCCAGATGGCCAACTATATCCTTATCATCAAAAGAAGAGTGACCACCATTGTTGAGGGAAATGATCCTCCCCCTCTATTCTGCTCTTGTGAGACCCCACTTAGAGTACTGCATTCAGATCTGGGGTCTCAAGGACCTGATGGAGTGAGTGCAGAGGAGGAACATGCAGATGATCAGAGGGCTGGAGCACATCTCCTGTGAAGAGAGGCTGAGAAAGCTGGGATTGTTCAGCCTGTAGAAGAGAATTCTCTGGGGAAACCTTATACTAGCTTTCCAGTGCCTAAAGGGAGAAAGGGGATCTACAGGAAAGATAGGGAGAGATTCTCTCTATCAGAGAGGGAGTGTAGTGTTAGGACAAGAGGTGGCAGCTTAAGACTAAAAGAGGGTAGATTTATATTGGAAATAATTAAGAAATTCTTTACTCAGGGGGCGGTAAGGCCATGAAACAGGTTAACTGAAGAAGGTATAGATATTCCATCCCTGGAAGTGTTCAAGACCCGGTTGGTTGGGGATTTGGACACCCTGATTTAGTGGAAGGTTTACCTGCCCATGGCAGAGGAGATGGGTCCATTACAACCCAAATGACTGCAGTTCTACAATTCTATGAAACAGCTCTGTTCTGAAGAGGCTCTTCCATCATAATGCCCAGGCAAATTTTAAATTGACTTGCAGTAGCTGATATTTCTGATGAGGCAAAAACTGCAAATTTAAGGCATTACACAAAAGTGATCTAGATTTCTAAATTATCTATTGCAACATAGTAAAAAACAATGTCAGAAGAACATGTACAACAAATAACTCAGATTCGTAACATCAAAATAGCAAGAAAAAAGGCACTTCCAAATTAAATAACAATTTGACTGTTCAGGTTTTAGTAGAAATTGCAACACTTCCCTGGACAGAATAAATTGTAAACAGCCCTGTTTTCATTAAAAAGCCATCATAAGTACAATTCTCAAACAAAGAGGTATGTTTCCTGGGTTTGCTTTCTAAAATTGCAGACTTCAGGGAATGATTACAACCTAATGCATTTTCTTTGTATTGCAAAGAAATTTTATAGCCCTGCTTGCTTACACGGGTATGGATACTGCATCATTTTGCTGGCTGTCCTCTTGCTCATGCTCTTAATTTTTTTTTTTCTCTCTGAACTGTCAAAACAAAAAACTTCAGCGAGCAAAGAATGTACTGTAGCACAAGGTAGTCAGCAGGGAAAAAAATATCCTATTCTGTATTCTCTATATTTTTTCTCTAAAATGAAAATCATCAACATCATCAGAATCCAGGAGGTGATCCAACCAATTCTTAGGTTCAGATAGACTACATGCTAGATATAGTCCAATATCGTCCTCGAAGGGTTTTAACTTCTATATTTTGAGGGTATGTACTCAAGGACTGGAGCTTTAAAACCATGGATTGTTAACGAGCAAAGGCTCAAGCTCAGACTCAAGGGAGATAATCTTACCTGGTCATACAGTCAATTTTATGGACTGACAGTTTAATATCTATTTCCCATGCTGAAGCAATGGGATACTACTAATCCGAATCATTCATTTGTTGAGATTATGCAGGTACACAGGGATAAATTAGGAAATGTTATGCTTGTGTAACTCTTCTAGATTTCAGTGAAAGTGCATGGATGTGTTAAAATGTAAGGATCTAATTTACTACTGTGGAGTCTTTTGATCTTGTAGCTGTACTGATAATAGAGTAGAATAGAACATTTATGCAATAATGCAGCTCAAAGTCAGAGCAGTCTCATGTTGTTTAGGGTTGTGAAAACAAGGGAAGAAAATGTCTCCTGAGATTTTTGTGAAATTAATCCTTTGTCCTGAAAAATAAAAAGAGAGGATGACCTGATTCAAAAAAGTCTGCAAGAGAAATATAGCTTTGCATTCACAGATAAATCTATCACTGACCACCACATTCAATGCAATGTTGAGCTTTTGTTTTTCAGCACTTTGCAAAATACTGAAAACTCTCTTAAGGCAATCGTTGGCAAATTTCTACAGAAACAAAACAGAACAAAAGAAATTCTAGAATCCCAACCGTTATTGGATTATTAAATCCAGAAATAAAAAAGCAAACTTAACAAACATAAGAAAAATTTATGCCCACCATTTCCTGGGATACAAAATAACAGAAATCCAATTTCTGAATAGGGACAGGGACAAGTGTGAATGGAAAATAACTGGCTATAGTGAACGTGCTTTATCAATTTAACTTGTATTGTACATATAGAGTATTTTATCACGGAAAATGAGATAGCCCAAAATGGCAGTTTTAAAACAGAATCAAAAGGTAATATGTTGAGTAAAACTATAACAATACTTTAATTTTAAAGTTTTCTGGTTGTTCACCAACTTGAGTTTCTTGTTACGATTTAAGCTAAAATATCTTTGTATATGCAAATTAGAAACTATATTACTGGAGTTTCTGTTTGCCTTGTAGTTTTATGTATGATGTTACAGAAAATGCATACTTATTCTTTATCTTCTTAGGTTAAACAAAAGACTATTTTAATACTTTTCTAATATTGATAGATGAATTTATTTTTTCTGTGCTAAGAACAGTTAAACACTGGAACAGATTCCTAGGAAGATTATGCAGTCTCTCTTCCTTCAAAATATCTTTGAAGAATAGTTTCATTTGTACAGTGATGGAGCTAATGCTTCTCAGTCATTACAGATGTGCAGTGATCTATAAGATCTCAGAGTATCCCATGGAATTTTGCAAAAATACAACTATGCAAAAGCCAGCTACTACCTATTTCCACACACAAGAACACAATACACTCTTACACCAAAAAGTCCCTGAAGAAAGCAACAGACAGGCATTTTAAGTTTACTTTCATTTTCAACAGAGTGAAAAATAGAAACAATTACATAAATGGTATGGTTGATTCTTCTTGGGTTATTTTATTTTATTTTTTTAAAAGCTAGATGGTTCTTTGTTGCAAGAAATGTTCAGAAAAACTCAGCCAGGTGATTCTAAATGCAACTACTAGGTGCAACCCAACTACTTTTTAGACATGCCTTATTAGGAAGAACATGAAGAGGTAGACTACCACTCAGGAAGCACTGAAAGACCTACTCTTGGTATCATATCCATAAATGCAAGCACAAATTCAACTTTTTATTCACCTTAAATTCTTAGTTCCTCCCCTAAGGAAGGCAATAACCGTGAAAGTACTCACTCAATACTACCTACCTAGAAACAGATGAAAATGTCAACACTTATTAATTAATCCACTTTCTGGAAACATTTGTGAATATTTGAACTACAAATGCTAAAATGTATAAAGGAAATGGAATATCTGATTATTCATAATTTGCAGTATATTCTATGCACCATGACCTTGATATTAACCAGTTTGATGATGACATACTAATTTTCCCCTTCTGTCAAGAAATGCATGGAGATTACTCTGTTAAATGAGATATCCCAGACAAAACAGAGATCCATTTTGTACTGCGTGTTTCATTTACCTTCATTATCCTTTAGAGTAAAGTTGGGATTCAAAGAAAGCCCTTCATCAAGAGAAAAATGGAATCTGGCCCCATTTGCAGAGTTATCTTTGTCAGTTGCAGTGATGGTCTGAATTACCTGAAATAAAAATTAACAATGAATGTGCTGAAATTTAAACTTGACCCCAATATTACCTGACCTTTGTAGAATGTTCAAATTTTGCTTATTTTAATTTTCTACTTGACTGCTGCTAAATTCAACAGATGATATGATTGGGTCATTAGCTTGATTCTTCTAGCATGAAATGTTTTAGGAGCTCGATAAAAGCATCTAAAGCATCTACACTTCCCAACATTTGGATATGGTACAGACATGGAGATTTTCATCATCGGCATTACCTCTTACTGACCTTCAGAATTACACTTTTGCCTAGGCTTTAATTAGAGCCTAAATTCAGGCTGAACCAGAATGGTCTGTCCAGTGCACCATCTTGCTTGACATTCTAACAATGAGTTGTACTTCAGTATTGATTAGGAAAAATAATCTTTTTAAGGAAAATGGCAAGCTCTGTTTAAAATTTTGGATAAGAATCAGTTTTAAAATTGTCAGAAAATAGAAAATAAAAAGCAGCTGCCACTCCTGGGTATAGTTTGATTTGCCCAAAGGAACAGAATTAGATGTAGCAACTATGTACAGGAGAAGTATTTTTGAAAGGTAAGACCTCTACCTTCAAAAGCCCTGATGATTTTTAAAATTTACTTCCAACTAAAACTGAGCTAAACTTTTGGAATCTGTGACCAAGCAATATTTCTAACTCTACTTTCATTTTCATGCTGGGCCTGGAAGCTCAAGTGATAAAGTAGAATTTAATAAAAGTTGTTCTTGTGATATATCCAGTGAAGCCCACATAGAGTGCTGCATGGAACTGATAGATATCCTGAGGGAAATGTAAAAGGGGGAGGGAGAAAGGCTCTTTTCATGAGAATTTTTCTGTTCAGTGTTCAGCTGCAGTCTGCCTGGGCTGAACCTGAAGCATAAACAGTGTGGGCTCCAGAGGGTTGATCTATTTTGAAATGAAAAGGCAGCACACAGTTCTCTACCACCATTCATGTACGAGAAGCAAAACAAATACATTTTAAAGCCAATAGACTACAATGATTATTCTGCTGAACATATACAAGATAATATATTCTATAGACTGTGCTAGTTTTAAACAATTAACAATACTGCTGGATAACTACAGAGAATATTTTCTCATGGTACTTTTTTACTGACCTGTAGAAGAATAAGATCAAATTGAAATGTCTATAATCATGAAGTTTTCCAAAGACATGATAATACAGATGAAAATGTTTGGTAAAAGCTAGTTGTTCTCTACTGAATTTTGAAAAAATGAATATAAAATTGAAATAATTACCATGTAAAAACATTTATTTACCCTAGATACATATTTTAAGTTAATAATGTTCACAAGTTATGAGCAAAGCAAGACAAAAACAGGAGTTAATGTAAGTACATTTTCAAGACAATCAGTTTCCATTATTACTCAAATACCAAAAATACAGTTAAATGCAATTCACAGCTGCAATAAATACAGACCAGAACTTAAAAAATGTGAATTGCTAAATACTGCTCATATATCATACATGCTCATACGTAATCATCATTGAAAGATATGTCACTTAGCTATGTACTTTCAGATTTTATTTGATGGCCTCATAGATAAACTTTTGTCCTGTTGTCCTCTCTTAAATCAAATGTTCTATAGATAGTTTACAGAACCTGGCTTCAAGAATATGGTTTTTTTTTTGCAAAAAAAGATACTTTTGATCAAGACCCCACTACCAAAAGACTAAAATTAATGAATAAGATGCATTAAAACTCAACATTCTACCTACTTTCTTACACGTGGAAATTTGAGTATCCCTTGAATACATCAACCTGTGTAAAAAGTACAGCATCAGATGGTATAGAAGCTATGCTTTTCCAAGTGAAAAATGGACAGTGTGTGTGTAATGGAATAGGTCAAAAGAGCATCAGAACGATTCTTAAAAGAAAAATGGCCATGCTCTTTCTGAATAAGCCCCTGTTTTCCAAGGGATAGATTTTGAAGACAGTCTTTTAGAGGTGAAGAACAAAAACGTGCATCTATCTGACATCCATATGCACTCCTAGCCCTTTTCTAATTAATAGGCCAACTAATTATTAGCTTAATAACAGATGTTAACATGCACCATATCAGAGTTGCTGATTAAAATAAAAATGTAGACAGAGAAACTCATCTTCTGTAATCCTCACTGACACCACTGAAGATATTAAACTGAAAGGTTATGGTATTTTTTTTAAAGGTAAGAGTTGTCCAGAAGAAAAAGTATTTCAGTAATGAAGGAGAAGTAATTGAAAAGGATATAGAGCAGGAATTCAGTCCAGCTCAGTTACTTTTCAGAACTGAATCAATAAACAAGTAAATATACATACGGCCAATTTATAGCAGAGGTGTGCCTTGCCAGCTATGATTCACTTCCTTGACTATTAGAAATAACAGTGCCCAGGATAAGGTAGCTCTTCTTGGCAGCACAATGTTTATACACCCAGATTCTGAAAAACTGTTGTGTGTTTGTACACGTATGCATGTGTGTTACTTACAGTAATACACAGTGTCAGGGAAATTACATTTCATTATTACCATAATTTTTTCTATTATTCTTCTGAAAAACACCAATATGACTAGTAGGCCTAGAGAGACATTTTAACAACCTAATACTCTGTCTGGACAAGCAGTGAACTTAGAAACATTCAGAAAACTGTCAGCATTTCACTCCTGCAATGTTCATAACAAAACACTTGAACTTTTTTTAAATTACTATTTACTCTCATTTTCTTAAAATTAATAAAATGAGACGTGTTTTAAACAAAGGAAAATTTCTTTTGTAATGGCACTTCATTGAAGATTCTGAAATATCATTCTTCTCCACTGGCTGTATTTCACAACCATACAGAAAACGAGTGTATTTCTAGAACTCAGGGTTCTCCAACTCTGTTTATTACCTAAGATCAAAATCACAACTGCTTCATTACATTAATATGTACTATCTATTAGGCTTCATCTGAAAGCTGTTAAAGATACAGAATTTATTTTCTCAGTGACTACTAATACAGGAAAACTATCACTTCACTGTGGAAATTATCATCTTCTCAAAAACATTTTTGAGATGCTTTAGGGGGTTCATTGAAGTACATTTTCTTATGTTGTATTATTATTATTTTGGAAACTAAATAAATTGAGCTACTGAGAGAAAAAGAATCAGGGGACCAATTCTGTCTCTGATTTCTCTCTGTAGATGCCTCTCCTGAAAATAAATAGGCAAACACAAAATTTTGTTAATGACAAAAAATCAGTTTATTTTATAATATATATATAATAAGTATATATATATAAATATATAATAAGTTATATATATATATATATATTATAAGTATATAATAAATTCAAAATAGATATGCTAGGACAAACGCTCTCAATGGCTATGCAGCTTATCTCCTTAGATTTCCTGAAGAAAGAAACAAGAACTCATACAGGACAGGGCAGAGCTGCAGCCCAACCTCAAACATCAGTCAAGTAGCTGTGCCTGACAATGTCTGACAGAATTTATTCTTTAGTGATATTTTGTACTACTCATTCTTACCAGATGATGGATAATTCAGAATAAATGCTGTCTTTGTAGTGATTCAAAACTATTCAGCTCGACGTGTTTTCTAGCACATGGAAAGTTGTCTTATTCTGCAATCTTTGCTTATTTGTTCTTCTTGAATACTTGTTGTTCATTGACCTTTTTTTCCTTAAAATAGTTGTCTTCTGAGCGAGAGCCAGGTGCTTTTGTATCTTTTTGTAGTTGTTTTCATGTGTTTTGTTTTGTTGTTGTTGTTTTTTTTTAATAGCCCAAGGACATCACAATCTCTTCTGAAGCCTAGCTGTATACTAAATATAGAAGTCAGAGCATGTCTCATACAGTCTTGACGCAAGCTCATCATTCCAACCTACAACCTGTGTAATCATGCATAACTGCCATGAAGATCTGTGTAACAACTCAGTCTATGCAAAGAAGGTACTTCTGGTAAAACAAAACAAAACAACTTGGTAAAGTTCTCAAACTATGGACCACAGTGAAATGCATTAACCAGTGGCAGCTGGAAAGTAATTGTTTTTCAGTTCGAATTGCAACCTTCCCTCTGCTCATAGTTTTGGAAGAACTGTTCAGCATATTTTCCTTGAAGATCCTTCACAGTCAGGTTCACCCTAATTTGGCTCTCCATCTGAACACTTCTGAGCAATTAAACATGCAAAAACTGAGGACAGTAGTCATACTAATCAGTCATTCCACTAAGTTACATTTGAAATCTTTCTCTCACATGGCTCTTAGTGAGAGCTGTTAAATCTGCTTTATCCATTTTTTAGAGGATAGTGACTTTTCAAATTCCATCTGGCAAGATTAAGATTTTTGTATTATATTTTCTTGAAATAAGAAGAAAATACCTTGAATGAATTCCCAATCTTCTCCCTTCAGTCTAATACAGTTAAAATACAGATTAATACATTTTAAAAGTTGGGTGAAATGTGAATTATGAAAATGAAATCAGAAAGATCATACGGCGTGTGATCAAAACAAAGTTTTAACACTTGCAGCATTAACAAATGAAACAATTCTTCTTTCACACTGAGAAAAAGGTAACTGAGAGTTACCTGACCAGGCTTTGCATTCTCACAGACCACTACGTCATACTCTCTGGCGAGCTCTGGAGGATTGTCATTGACATCCAGGATTCTAATGCCAACTGGAACATGGCTCACTAGCTCAGGATTGTCTGAAAAATATACAGAGGGTATTTATATATATTCAATATTCATATAATTAATTACATTATATATATATATAATTTTCAATATTATGCAATATTGAACATTACATAGATATTATTTTACAAAAACAATTCAAATTATGTTATATATGTAATATTCAATATCTTGTGACATCCTCAATATACAGTGACATCCTCAATTAAAACATGATTTCTCAACACAGCAACTGGGTGAGAACTAGATACAGTTGCAAAACTTTAAGTAATAGATCATGAAAGATGATGTTTGCTGAGCTTCACTTTTTGAAAAGAAATAGGGAAGAAAGCATAGTTAGTTATACCATAGCAATAAAAATACAAGGTACTCTGAGAATGAAGTAAAAGGCTGTTGGTGCTATTGCACGCTGTCAAACTCTATGCAAGAAACGACTGATTATTTTTCAATTAACATCAAAGTGTAATCACATTAAGACCTTTTATATTTTTCTCGGTCCCTCAATGAGTTTAGGAACTAGGAAGGCAGCTCCAAAAGTACTGCCTATTTTATGATGTTGGTTCATGACATCAGAGGCAAATGTTGGTGGTATGGCAGCAGAGGCAGAACCTTCCTACCAACATTCCATTACATTGTGTTGCCATGTGACAGATAGTACCAGACGGGCAGTCTGACAAAATAGCATCAGACACGAAAGTATGGATGAAGCAAAAATGTATCACTGAATTCCTCCATGCAGAAATAATTGTGCCCACTGATATTCATTGATATTTGCTGAATGTTTCTGTAGACCAACAGTTTGCATGTGAGTAGAGTGAGGCAGTGGTTTTCAGCAATGTGAAAGAGAAGACACATTCCAGATGGCCATGCACAGCTGTCACACCATGAAATGAACAGTGTTCCCATCAGCTCATCCATGCAAATCAGTGGATTATGATCAGGGAATTGTGTATGGAGCTGAACATTGCTTTTAACGTATTGGAAATGATGGTGATAACTTTAGACTATTGCAATGCTTGTGTCAAGTGGGTCCCATGAATGCTCACACAGGAACAAAAACACTGTATGCAAGTTTGTCAGGATCTACTGAACCAATACAAAACAAAAGGTGATAGTCTACTGGATCACATCATTACCAGTCATGAGACATGACATCACCATCATGAGCCAGAGTCAAAATGGCAGTGCATGGAGTGGTGACATGAATTCCCCATCAGAGAATTTATAAATGCTGCCACCAGCAATTAAAGTGATGTGCACTGTTCTTTTGAATAGGAAAGGGATCCTTCTGGATCCTTCTGGATTTTTTTGGAAAGCAGACAAATGATCAGTTCTCATCACTACATAGCACTGCTGTCTGTCTCACCTGAAGGCTTGAAACTCCAGAGTCAGGACAAGAGGAAAACAACTTTTCTCTTGGAACATAATAACACCAGATCCCCTAACAGCTTGAAGACCATGGAAGGCACTGCCAATCTTGGTTGAACTATCCAACCACAACGTGGTCATAGCAGCTGTGAAACACTGGGTCACACCTGCTACTGTAGATTTTTATGAATGCAGGCTCTCATTCATCGCTGGTGAAAATGCACGGCTAATGGTGGTAATGGTGCTGAAAAATAGTGGTTTGTAGTTGAAAATTTGCACTATATCAAATAGTGTTATTGTACTCTTTGCAGCAGTTGTAGTCTCCGTGGAAATAAATTGGAGCCATTATTTTCAGAGTAATGCATGCAAAGTTCAGAAATTATATGGAACTAAAAGCACACAGACATACATAAACCATTCCCAAGGCTGGTTTAAACCTTCTCACAAGTTACCATGTTGTTACACAAAGTAGTCAATAAGTCTTGTATTTTCTGTGAAAATTCAGCACCAGTGACACATCGGTTAGAAAATGTTTAAGTAATGGTGTCTTAGTATATGATCTATACTTGTTTGAGAGCTCACCTTCAAAAAGAGATCACTTGCAAAAAAGCACAATAATTTTTTTTCAGTGAAAATAAACTTTCTGTTTTAAGATGGGAAAAAAAATACAAATCTTAATGCATCATTCTTTTCTTCTTACTACTATGTACCAAGACACTTATATTTGATTAGAAGAATTATATTTTGAAGCCATTTTAAAATTAGGGGCAATATATCTTCCAAAGTCTGTGCAAGTATCCATCTTGTAGATAACAAACTTCATTTTGTTTTTTACCAATTAAATTAAACTATCAGTAGAAAAAAAATAAGTCCATCATTCATGCACAAGGTAGAAGAATGGGTTTTACAGGTTTATTTTTTTAAATGTGCATGTTTTATTTTTAATTATGCTTGTTCATGTGAAGGAAAACAAAGCAGAAATATTAAGGATCTAAAGTTCACCTGTCCTGGTTATTTCTTCTGTATTTAGCGACATTATGTTTCCATCAAAAGAAGAGTCATTTGTAAAATGCTTCAGATTTTTCATGCCTTTGAAGGCATTTGCTCAGAATTCTATTATCATTCATTAGTTTAGACATTTAGAATCAAAACCACCAGTAATGTAGCCTCCTACTAAAAGAATATTTGAGAGCACTGGAGTTTTTTTTGACAAAGTGAGAGATATATCCTTCTATGTTTTCATCTGGGATATTAGTCAAAGAGCCTGGGTTTGAAAGGTTTTTTTCAGATTTTTCACATTCTCTTTTTGATTAATATGACTGTTTGCATGATGATTTTCATTCACTTTTGGAAATTAGTCATCCATCCCCATGAAAAGGGGTTAGGAGGGAAATCAAAATTATAAACAGAAAAGGAAGATTTAATTTAGATAAGATAGGAACCTCACTGTCATTTCCAATTAACATTAGTATTAAAAGTTATAAGAATACATTCAGAAGGGCTACAGACTCACAAATTCCATTTTTTTTTTTACTGTGAATGCTCTGTTGCAAAATTAGGAATATGTTTAATATATAGTACTTAAGTAGATTATTTTAGTAGTCTAGAGGAGTGTTTAAGTGCTGTGAATACACAAAGGGAAAGTGAAGAACGGTTGGCTGTTTGCTATGTGGTTGGATGCAAAAAACCATCCATCTCAAATTATGAAAGAAAGAAAAGCAGCCTTCTCCCTTTGAACTTTGAGAATTAACTGAAAAGATGTTTGGCCCTTCCTTGGTGGTAGACTTTAAGATTGTGCAGAATAGCACAATACAAAGCAATAAATATTAATGCTCACTAGCATATTGTACAAAATATTTTAGGTAGATTGTTCTGTCAGTGCTAACAGACAAACAAATTACAAAAATCCTATAGTCACAATTGCAGGATATGAGATCGAATAATATGTTATCTAATCTCTAGTTTAGGAAAATATCTATGTTCTTGAGCCTGGAATGCTCTAACTCAAATTCTGTGAGGTATCAATTCATAGAATCAAAGAATCTTTAAGGTTGGAAAAGAACTCTAGAATCACGTAGTTTAACCGTCAACACATTACCACCACTCCCAGTAAACCATGTCTCCAAATGCTGCACCTTCTCTCTTCTTGAAAACCTCCAGGGATGGTAACTTCACCATCTCCCTGAGCTGCCTTTTCCAATGTATTACCACTTTCCAAGAATAAATTTTTCCTAATATACAATCTGAATCTCCCCTGATGAAACTTAACGTCATTCCCTCTCATCCTGTCACTGATAACTGGGATAAGAAGCTGACCTCCACCTTGATACAATGCCTTGCAGGTAGTTGTGGAGAACTATAAGGTCTTCCCTGTGCCTCCTTCTCCAAAATAATTTCAGGCATATGAACTAGAAAAAGTTATAAATTACAGGAAAGATACGAAGTAGACAAAGGAAGAGTACACAAAAGAATAGTACATAGATCAAAGGCAGATATTATAGTAAAGGGGTAAGGAAGAATCCACCTTGGAGTGGCTTCAAAAGATACAGTGAAAGCGATGAAGATTTTAATATTAGAAAAAGCCTGAAGGTTTTGTCAGAAGGCAGAAGTATTTGTGACAACTAGATAATCATAGAATCTTAGCTGAAAGGGACCTCTGCAGGTCATTGGTCTGGTCATCAGTTCAAAGCAGTGCCATCTTCAACGCTAGAAGAGGTCATAATACATCTAAGAGGAAGGGAGAAAGAAATCAGGAAAAGCTCAGGGCAGAAGGTAACAGAGACAGAGAATTGTTCTGTTGATCTGGCATGTTTGGAATATTTACTGAGGAAAGAAAATCAAATGTTTTAATCCAGTGTGTTCTTGTCTGGCAACAGACAGGTAAATTCTTGTGTTTCAGTACAGTATATCAGAACCCTTTCCCATTCCTGAACAGTGTCCTCCTGTATACCTGTCACTACTTTCCAATGCATCTTACCCCAGTCTGTTGAGCTTGCATTACTTTCACTGAGATTTCACAAAGATTCAGAGAGCTGTTGGTTTGTTTGTTTGGTTTTTTTTTGGTTGCATATTATCTATCTATCTATCTATCTATCTAGTTAGCTAGCTACTACCTACTACCTACCTATCTACCTATTTATTTTTGGCAGCTATTTTGCACAAGGAATTACTTTTTATCTTACCAGTTCAAAAGAGTACAGGGAATTGTTGGTATCTTTCTGGAAGCAGTTACCTTATAGGATCTCTGATCTTTGCAGGCGAATTTCCATACTGAAAGCCTACTTATTACAAAATGCTAATACGGAAAGTATTAACATCACTTTCCAAAATGGTCTTGAAGTTTGTCAGACTGTGTATACTACATCAATGTGTATGCAAGATAACACAGGTTATAAGGGAGAGAGGGAATAGCAAATTAACAAGGTCCTTATAAGCAGGTTGTATTTTAGTTTGTATTATTACAAATTATATATTTTATTACAAAATAAACATAAACTACAGCCTTTTGCAGGTGTGCTGCTCACCTGCAATCCCACACACACACTGATAACTGATCCCTTTTATATTAATTAGACAAATGCAATGCAGTAGTTTGGCAGATTTCCAGTTTTGAGATAATCAGTGCTGATGTATATTTCAGTCC